AGGCCACGAGCTGCCAACAAGAAGCCAGATGGCGACTGGTGCCCTCCACAACGCAGATTGAAGAACAACAACTTGGCTGGTCCCCTCCCCCAATTCCCCAATAACATCTTAAAAAAAAAGGAAATAATAAATCAAACTATGTTAGTAATTAATAATCAATGTAAAAGGAATAAAATTTCCCATTTAAAAAATTATTAAAATGGCAAAGATTGGCAGAATGGATAAAAACAAATGCAGTGATGTGTTCTTTATGAGACAAACCTAAAAACCAATGACATAGTAAAGCTGAAGGTAAAAAGAAAAAGACATCAGGAACATACAAAAGAAAGCTGTTATGACTATTAATATCAGACAGAACACACTCCAGAACAAAAAAGCATAACTTAGAGTCACAACATATATTGTTTCAATTCACCATAAAAATATAACAGATTCTAAACTTGAATGCAACTAATATAATAGCTTCAAATTAAACAAAGCAAAAAATGGACATGACTACAAGGTCATTAACAAATCCACTGTCATCGTGAAATTTTTTGTTTTTTTAAGATTTTATTGGGGAATTGGAGAAGGGGAACAGCCAAGTTGGTGTCCTTCAATCTTAGTTGTGGAGGGTGCAGCTAGCTCAGCTCCAAGTCCAGTTGCCATCAGGCTGCCTGTCGGCAGCTTGTAGCCACTTAGCTCAAGGTGCCGTGTTCAATCTTAGCTGCAGGTGGGCGTAGCACACCATCCCATGCAGGTGTCTAACCAGCAACCTTGTTAGGAGCACGTGCTGAGCCACCCTGCCACCTGTTGGCAGCTCAGCTCAGGCGCAGCTCACTGGCCCATGTGGGAATCGAACTGGCGACCCTGTTGCTCAGAGCTCGTGTTCTTAACCAACTGAGCCACTTGGCCTGCCCCATAGTGAAATTTTAACATAACTTTTCTCAGTAATTGGTGTATTATGAAGACACACATTAAAAAAACAATTAAAACAGTAATGATATGGAAGATTTGAACGCCACTATCAATAAGCTTGATTTGCTGGGCAGACAAACTCTTCCACTCAATAACTGAAGAAAGCACATTCCTTTCTAGCACATATGGAACATTTAAGGAAATTTGTTTATGTACTAGGCTATACATCAAGTCTCAACAAATTAACCTTTAAAAAATTGGTATTATTCAGACCACAGCATCAGGCCTTAATGCAATTAAGTCAGAGATTAAACAGACTCAACTTACTCTCTTCTAGACTTCTCCACTTCCTTTTTAGAAGGTAAAGTGCATCCATCAAATACAAGAATAGGCTTGATCCCATGAGTCAGTAACATATTTACAAATTTCATACAAAATCCTACATACCTATGAAAACAAAGAAAATGCATTTAAGTATTTTGTGTCTTGCAAGGTAATATTTTTGCTCTTTTTAAAACCAGATGAGACAGATTATGAATAAAGAAGGTTCTTATTTTTTTAAGCAAATGTTTTCATATGAAATGTAAACTCTAATTTAGACTTGGGTTCAAATCCTGCCCTCATTTCATATATTTCACAGACATCTTTCCAGGTCAGCACATAAAGATCTACCATATTCTTTATAATGGTCATAAGGGTTTATCATAGGTTTATCCAAATTTTCTGGTTAATGTTCCCATCCAAAGGTGGATAAAGGAAAATAAACTCTATCAAATATAACTTACTAGCTGCTATGGAGAAAAATATTAAAATACACAATACTTCGTTGAAAGTCCTGAAACTTTTTAGCTTAATAAACATTTACCGAACACCTACTACACGGCAGGTCCTGTGAAGCTCATCTCCAACAATAAAGGGTACTCCTTGTGTTCTGGACAACTTCCAATTATCAAACATCTCAGAATCCTCAAGAATTACAAAAAACTAGACATAACATTCTCCCGCCATGAGGAAATATTCAAAGAAACACTGAAGACGGCAATCAAAAACGTGTCGTCTTCAAGTACAATGGCAACTGCTCCAATTCAGTGGTGGGAAAGAAACTGCTTTCAAAAAGTGATCACAGCAGTCGAAGGGGCGGAAGTGCTCAGGCTCCTTTAGATCCCACAGGTACCGTTCCAGGCAACTCTGGGTCAAATTCACTGGTTAGGCCTGAAAACCCCCAAATTCACTACTTAATAATGACTTTCCCCCCTTCCTTCTAGAAAACAAAAAGGGTTAACACATTTTATCAACTATCATTGTGCTTAAGGTAAGTCATATTAAGTAAGATCTGTGAGCCTTTCCTCTAGGACAGTGGTTCTCAACCTGTGGGTCGCGACCCC